ACCGAGTTGATGGTTCTCCAGGCACAGCTGATGTTTGTCTCGGTGTGCGTGCCAGGGAAAAGACCATAAAGCACAGAGTTCTGCATCATGGAGCTGATCTGGACGAACGTCGACACAAACCACTGCATCTTCCTCCAGACTTCCCTAGCAAAGGCACATTTCAGAAGGAGCTGTGTGACAGTCTCAACACCCTTCCACCACCCCACCACAGCCACTTTGGGGGCATCGTGCAGTGGCGTGGACCGACCAAGCGTACATAAAGGATTTCACAGGTAGTGCCCTTCTCACCATCAGCCAAGTGATGTCTTGGTGCTAGTTAGAAATTTCTGGTGATTAAGCATTCTGCCAAATGACTTTGACAGTCTGCTCGGAGAACCATGCGACAGGACCCACCCTCTCCATTTCCTTCAGGATCTCAAGGATGCTGCGTGCTGACCACTTCCTGATGGACTTGCAGTCAAAAGTGCTTTTCTTTGCAAATTTCTGAATAAAGGTCAGGTGATACGGAACAGTCCCAACTATTCAAAACGTTCCATGGCAGGGTGGCCTGTCTCATCCTTTGCAACACCAGGGACACGTAGAACCTCAGTACGTAGTGTCACTTGGTGCTTGCATACCGAGGGTCTATACACAGCTTGGTGCAACTGCACAAGAAGATGGCCATCAGAATGAGGGCAACGTTGGGTGCGGTCTCCACCTTACCCCCACCGCACCCAACCCCCCCACCCCCATCCAGAGTTTTGTACATGGAGTTTCTGCAGACCAGGTGTATCTGAGGCTTTCAGATGAAATGGAAGATTGCTCGGGTGACTGAAACAGTGCAGTTTCAGAGAATGGGCCAGACCTGCTCCATATATAACAACAGAGAGAGTGCCTCACACCTGATGACCAGGTTTTTACCCACAATTGAGAGGGAGTGGTGCTTCCAAAAGACGAGCTCTGCTTCACTTGGGCAATGCCCCCCCCACCAAGATTTTGTGCACAACCTGGCCCTTCCAAACAATATTCAAACCCATATACAAACCCATGCAGATCAAAACCAGAAATGACACTACTCACCACAACAGACAGAGTATAAATTCTAAGCAGAGTAGAATAACATTGCTTCATTGGAGGCTCAAATGATGATGTCACCTATCATGGTGATGAAATGTCTGAACAAAAACAAGCCAGCTTGGCAAGCAAGCCAACAACCTCACCCACAACCCAAGCTACAGATCTTTGCCAAAACTTTAAACATCCACATACTGCACCAGAAAATTTTCTTGTACACACTTAACAAATTCCTCTCCATTCAAGCCCTTAACTCTATGGCAGTCCCAGTCTATGTTTGGAAAGTTAAAATCCCCTACCATAACTACCCTATATTCTTACAGATAGTTAATAAATAATGTAAATAAACAAGGTACTAACACAGATCTTTTTGGGATACCACTGGTCATATCCTGTCTATTTTAGTACCTACCCATTATGCCTACTTTCTGTTGTCTGTCACTCAACCAATTTCTTGGCCATGTCAGTAATTCGCCCTCAATTCTGGCAGGTTCTACCTTAGTTAACAGACTCTTATGTGAGACTTTATCAAGTGCCTCCTGGAAGTCCATATAAACAACATCTATAGACATTACCCTGTCCAGTACCTGTTACCTCTTCAAAAAAATTCAATGAGGTTTGTCAGGCACATCCTACCTGCCATGAATCCATGTGAGGTCACGCTAAAAGTTTTTTGAAAATTACCTGAAAATTTTCAAGGTGTTCAGTTACCTTATTCTTGATTATAGGCTCCAACAATTTTCCCTCCACAGATATTGGGCCAAATGGTCTGTAATTCATTAGTTTTCCTCTTACACCCTTCTTAAATGGCAGAGTGATGGTGTGGGAAAGTCCAATTAGACGGATCAAAGGACTTCTTCTGCACTTTATACTTCTACGATTCACAACCTGGCTTCAGTTAAAAAAAACTTCAGATGCCTACTCCGTGCTCATTGGCTGTGAGAATATTGCAGCTCAAGGCCACAAGATGTAGTAGCAAAAGTAGGCCATTCAGTTTATTGAGTCTGCTCCACCATTCATGGCTGCTGCCAAGGAGTGGAGATTCAGCGAAGTACCCTCTAGGGGTTCCTAAAAATCTTTCTCTTTGACTCGGGAGGCCACAGTGCCTTCTGTGTGCAGAATTACACAGCCTGGCAAAGCTAAATGTCCATTCATCCTGCTCGTTGTTCCTCAGCAAAAAGATCATGAACTTCCCTCGTCAAGAGTAAACAGCCTCTGTCAGCTCTTTGACAATGTGCTGAGTATCACCCTGTTGCTGATTTTTCCCACTCCTGTCTATGAGTACTCTGAGGCTTGAAGAGTACAGTGCTTACTTTATTGGCACCAACAGGCCCCATCCTGACTCTGCTTTGAAGCTCCAGGTCCTTGTTCAATCAACATCGCTTCAGGCACTGCTCCTGCGTGAAGTTACAGGAATGTTTCTGATAGATAAAGCCTGCTAGAAAGGCCAGTTTCCTCCTCCTCTATTTTATTCACTTTGTCCTCTTCTTCCTTCTCCCTTCTTAATTTTTTTGTTCATAAATAGGATGCAGGCTTTGCCGACTTGGCCAGCATTTATTGATCATCCCTAGATTGCTCTTGAGAAGGTGTTTCAAGCTGTCTTCTTGAACTGCTGCAGTCCATTAGCTGGTGCACCCACAATGCTGTTAAAAAAGGAGTTCTATGATTCTGACCCAGTGACAGTGAAGGAGCATGACATATTTCCAAGGCAGGATGGTTAAGTGTCTAAGAGCTGAACATGAAGGTGATGGCGCTTTCATATATCTGCTGCCCTTGTCCTTTGAGAGGGAAGTGGTTTTGGGTTTGAAAAGTGCTGTCCAAGGAGCCTTGATGAATTTCTGTGGGGCATCTTGTAGATAGCACATACTGCTGCTCCTTCGTGTCAAAAATGGAGGGAGTGGATGTTTGTGGATGTGATCACAATCAAATGGGCTGCTTTGACTTGGAGGATGTTGATCTTCTTGAGTGTTGTTGGAGCTGCACTCATCCAGGCAAGTGGGAAATATTCCATCACACTCCTAACTCGTACCTTGTAGATGGTGGACAGACTTTGGAAAATCAGGAGGTGAGTTACTCACTGCAAGTTTCCTAGCCTGTGACCTGCTGTTGGAGCTAAAATTTTTACGTGGCTAGTCAAGTTCAGTTTCTTAGCAACAACAGAGCAACTAGAGAACATTGGCAATCCCATCCTCACAAAGCTACATTATCAGCCTGGAGGACCATCCAGTGGTCTCCTGGTGCTGACACTGCTTCATCTGCTACAGATGCATCATCTGGTCCAACAATTCAGGAGACTGATGAAAGCACACTGCCGCCATCGTCTCCAATATGAGAATCGGGTCTACCTTTGTCGTAGCTATGAAGATCAGCTCTCAGAAGAAATCAACAACAAACACACAACACACACAGGTAGGATTCGTCTACAGCAGAGATATATCAATGATACCACACTGCAGCATGTTGACTGACCCTGGAAACAATGCTCATGCAAGGATCCAACTCACATCAGAACACTTGATCATTTTTGAGTGGAATGTTAATGTGTTGAATGATCCTGCATGGAGTAAATTTGCAACATGGGCATTACATCAGCAGCTAGGGTTGTGTGCAGTTACAATCTTGCCAGTTCTATACCTCACAGGAGATACCCACATAAACACACTTTTCAAGTATTTGTCCAAATAGATGGTATGTCATGTCAGCCTTGGAATAACAGGCAGAATTATTTTCACTTTTAAACACAACAATTAAAAGGCAGAGATGAATAAATAAGGAAGTGTTCAAAATGGGCGTGTCACAATCATACAGCTAATTTTAGTTTAACGAATGTACATTATGAAGACAAATAAATTCATTTTACCAAATTAAACACAAAGAACATGCGTGTGTTCCACCCAGACTCAACACAATAGTTTGTTTCAGTTTGAAGAAAAATTTAAACGAAGGCAAAATACCACAGATGCTGAAAATCTGAAATGGGAACCCAGTGGGCGAAAATGCAAACTGGAGCATGTCAGGACAGACAGAAAACAACAAAACCAATTGACCTTAGATTGTAAAGGGAGGTTGGGGATGGGATAATACTGGGTTAAGACAGGTAAAGAGAGGAGATAGTGGTTTTGAGACCCTATGAAATGGGAACAGATTGACATATTAGCTATCATAGGTGCCACAGAAAAGTGGTCAACATTTGCAGCAGGGTTGCCAACCAATGATTAGACTCCTGGAGCTTTCATCACATGCCTTGCCCCCATATTCAGGCATTACCCTACCAACACCTCACCCACTGCCTTCAAACACCACATGGACAGCAAAAGTACTAATTCTCAATTGTTCGCCATATCGCACTGCTCCCTCCCTCTTTTCAACAGTTTTATATCTCAGAAAAGCAGGATGATCAAAGAAAATGACAAAAGAAATCACTAAACTATTTTATTGTCCCTTTGATTTTTTTTGTCTGCAGAGTTGCACCAGGGAGAGTCCTAGGAGATTGACCTTCAATTGCTGGTGACTCCAGGCCAATCCAGGAGGGTTGGTAACCTGAGATCAGAGGGGTAGAGGTAAAGTTTGGTGATGTTGCATTTCAGATGCCAGGGGAATGGAGCGGCCAAGGGGGCAGTGGGAGTACCAGGAAGGAGATAACAAGGAGTAGAGCTGGATGAACACAGCAGACCAAGCAGCATCAGAGGAGCAGGAAAGCTGACGTTTCAGGCCTAGACCCTTCTTCAGAAAAAATGGAAGGAGAGTTTGGGCATGGAGGCTGAGGTAGATTGGGGTAAGCACCTTTCCGCTGCCAGCCCCATGACAGACCAGGCTCTTCAGAAATAAAAAAAAATAAGATGCGACTTCCCTCTCCATCACCCACCTTTTCACCTAACTCAGTCTCCTCTTTATTAAGCCCCACTGCGTCTCCTCAAGCCCGCCTCTCACTTTACTGACCAACGAGCGAGTTCGCTCCTCTGTCAATCACGGTAATCCCGGAAATACGAGCTTGGTGCTCGCCCTAGGGCATTTTCGGATCAGGAACTGGCTCTGGGGAGGTGAGTGTCTATTCTTATCTGTGTCTGTAAAGGCTGTCTGCTCACATGCACACTGTCTTTCTCTTTGTAAATATTGCCCGCATGCTTCACTTTCAGGTTGCACAATAACGGTTGCAGCTCGAAGGTTGAGTTTTGAACTTGAGACTGCGTCTTGGCTGTGATGGTGAATGAATGAATGAATGAATGAATAAATGGACGGACGGACGGACAGACAGACAAACAATCTGTATTCATTGCTCAAAGATAGAGAACACTTAATTGGTGCACAGAAGAACAAAAAAAGGTATCTAAACTAAGATGTGATATTTTCATTATTAGTAACAGTGGCCTTAGAAGGAGTTCTGAGATGGTCCATTGAACCTGAAATGTTAGCTCTTGTTTCACTCTTCACAAATATCGCCTGACCTGCTGAGTATTTCCATATTTTTATCTTCGTATAGGAAAATACAGTGCAGGAGAAACTGTTCTGCCCAACGTGGTTGTGCAGTTCTTCAGTAGAACTGCTGAATCAGCCACTTACCTTCCCCACCTACTGCCTATTTCCAGTCAGGTAGTTACCTAATATCCCAGTGAATCTGCTTTGACTCAGACAAGGCCTGGCACTTCATGATGTCCTGTGTGTAATATGTGCTTCCTAATGCCAAGTTTGTGGGTGGCAGACACTGTAGGTCAATTAGCCGGGAGGCCTCTTGCGGTGCAGGGGTACCCTACCTCTGGCACAGGCGCTCTGGGTTCAAGTCCCAGAGGTGTATCATAATGTCTCTGCACAGGTTGCTCAGGAAATGTCTACGAATAAGCTAGTGATTTGTTTTGAGGAAGAGTACGCTGAGTTGCTAATCACAACAAAATGTTGAATAGTTTGCTCCAATATTCCATGAGCCATGTGAAAGTGGGAGCTCACACCAGCCTTTCTGACCCAGAAAAGGAAGAGTTCCAACTTTGGACTTTCATTCCTCTGGGCAGTAAATTGACTTTGGTGATGTTTAAAATTTCAAATAATCCTTTTCACTTCCTTTCTGTTCCTTCTTTCTCTCACAGACCATTTTTTTCATCTTTTTTGAATTTCTCATGATTTATCTAATCTGACTCAAATTCACTCCATTTTGTACCTGCTGTGGTCTTTCATGTCCTATAGATCCTAGTCCTTCACTATAGTCCCAGATGACTCCTTGACCTTATCTGCTCAGGCATCCAATGGTGAAGCTTTTCTTTGTTCTGAAGGTTGAAATCGGAAAACCTAATAATCAAGTTGCCCAGGTAAAGCAAACACATGGCTAATATGTTTATTATCTTTGGTTATCTAGAGTGTATTAGAGATCGAATCGTGAATGTGGTGGCCAAAACAGGAGATGCTGGAAGTCTGAAATAAAAACAGAAGGGGCTGATGGAACTCAGCAGGTCTGGCAGCAGAGATCGTAAGAACTGCTGATGCTGGAGTGAGAGATCACACAGTGTGTAGCTGGAGGAACACAGCAGGCCAGGCAGCATCAGGGGAGCAGGAAGGCTGACGTTTCGGGTCAGGACCCTTCTTCAGAAATGGGGCATTTCTGAAGAAGGGTTCCAACCCGAAACGTCAGCTTTCCTGCTCTTATGATGCTGCCTGGCCTGCTGTGTTCCTCCAGTTCCACACTGTGTTATCTTAGGTCTGGCAGCATCTGTGGAGACTGAAACAGAGTTAACATTCCGAGTCCAGTATGGACATACCAGTCTTGAAACCAGAGTTTCTTCACTTTGTGCTGAAATATATTCTTTGAGGCTTTATCACATCTTGCTCCCTACACTTCAGCCACTGTCAAGCCAACACATTATCCTTGAGACACTTGTCCTTCTACTTTCCTATTGGTGTAGAAAGGCAAATTGGATGTTACTTGACTGTTCGCCAATAGGTACTTTCTCCATTTTCCATTTTATAAAAGTGAAATGTTCAAAGGAACTGACAGAAATTTGATTATGTTTCATGTTCCTGTGATATTTCTCCAGGGTTTTCACACAACAATGCCCTAGAGATTCAATTTCAATTCTTGGAGACACCAGTTCAATCCAGAAGGGCTGGCAAGCCGAGTAAAGGCAATTGGGAAATGCCCAATCCAGTTATCTTCTGGATATGGATTTTTTTCAAATCAACCAGGAGATTCTTATTGGTTCATGAACCTGATGACCAAAGTTAAACATTGAATTATGGGATATGGATTGTTCTATCTTTGTTTTTAGCTCTCATTTTTCCCACTAGGTATAGTCAGGGTTCACGATAGCCCTCCTCCTTCCTTGGTTTCCTCCAGTTGCTCTTAGATTATGCCTCCTGCTTGGTCATTCAGTCATCCTGTCATGTTCCACTCCAAAGTCCTCCTTTATAAACATGATCTTCTGGCTTTCATTGCCAGTGCTTGTGCCATCCCAGTCTCCTCTCCTGAGCCATCATAGACACTGAATTTCTCCCAGGTGCTATCATTCCAGGAGCAGTCCCTTCCTGCAAGTTGGTAGCATCCTCATCTAGTTCACTTCCTCTACTTCCCACAAGGTGTGCACTGATACAACAGAGCTCTTGACTGTGGCTTTGTCAGTATATTGTGGAAGGATTGTAACTTCTAAATTTTACAATAAGGTTTGTTAGTACAGTTAAGGGAACAAATCCATTATTTTGAAGGACTTATTAATGCATTTAACCAGTACAACAGTGAACGAGAATTTGTTAAATGCAGTGATAAGGCTAGGGTTAACTCTTAACTCCTAAATTCTAGAATACCAGGTCTTAATAGGAATGATCTTAAAAAAAGTGAATGCATTTACTGAGGTGAGTTGAAAGGTGAAAGTAACACACAACACTATAGAACAATAGATTTTTAAAAGATTGCAACAGGAGCATAAATTTCTTGTGTTAAAACTGAAGATAACCCCTCATAATTTTAGACTGCATGGATAAATAAAGGTTAGAAATCAATAAAAGAATAAAGCTGGAGTGAAAGTGAAATTAAAATCATTAAAGGAAAATAAGTGAAAATCAGAAAAGTAACTTAATCGGTATGACCAAAACTAACAAAGCGAAAGAGAAACATTTTCAAAAGACACCTGAATGAACTGTAAAATACATCACTAATAAGCATTAATGTTAAAAGGAAGGTTGAATCCTGAAAGAGGAGGATTTTCAACTTTTAAGTAATGACCTAAAATAGCCATGATATCACAACTTGAACTCTGATTTCTCTTCACAGATGCTGCCAGAACTGCTGAGCTTTTCCAGCAATTTCTCTGTATTTTATCTTAACACTTTGTTTCAATATTTTATAACACTCATCCAGGTTAGTTCCTTCTAAAGCAGGGCACTGTCACTGCCCACATGAGCCCCCCAATTATTTTTAACCAACATGTTCAGATATGTTATGATACATCTCCAGGGCAGGTGGGACTTGAACCTGGGCTTTCTGGCTCAGAGGCAGTGATACTACCACTGCACCTCGAGATGCTTTAGAAGGAACTGCTCAGCTATAAAATATTTAAAGGAAAAATAGAACACGTTGTTAGAAAGATATTTATCTATGATTGTCTGAACTGCTGTCTACTGTTAACTTTTTTGAATCAGAGTAGTATTTTTTATTTCTTATTTGCAATATGAAAGCAAAACTGGGAGTGAATTGAATATACTTATTTTTGACCAGTCTGAGTGCTGCATTCTTTGTTACCTGTAGGCTTTTAACCAATTTTTGAGCCTTTGAGTTGAAGGTTCTATTCGAGGGGGAAACCATTTTTGTGATTTGAGCCAATATTTCTCTTACTGTTAATTCCAGGTGTGAAAAATGCCACAGATGGGATGAGTTATTTAAGCTGAACTCTAGTTTGCATATTCAAATGACCATTAAATATCCCACAAAACAATTTTTCTTCAACAGGGAGTTCCCCATGAAGCAACACCAGCAAAGTAAGCAATTCAATGGGTCCTTCACTGTGTTTGAGGGATGTTTGGTGCAGCTTAGATGCTGCCTACATAATACCGCCTGTATTGCTTGCAATATAGTAGTCACTACGCTTTTAATATTCATGTTTTCTTTGAAGCTTCACAGATATTCATTATGATCAGGCAGTATTGTTGTAAATCCAATTTTTGATTTGGTATTTTCAAATATATCTATTGTATTTCAAGATAATAAATTTCTTTTTATTCAACTTTGGCACTAGTTTACTGTTCTACTAAATAGATTTGTAGCTTACTCAGAGAGAAGGTTTATCCCTATTTCCTCCTTTGATTTTGTAATAAGATCATAAGGAATAGGAACAGGAGTAGGCCATTCAACCTTTCAAGCCAGCTGTGCCATTTAGTAGGATCATGACTGATTCAACGGTGGCTGTGTTAGCAGTACTTCCTCACAACACCAGGGACCCAGGTTCAGTTCTACGCTCAGGTGATTGTTTGTGTGGAGTTTGACCGTTCTCTCCGTGTCTGCATGGGTTTCCTCCCACAGTCCAAAAGTCCCACAGGCTAGGTGGATTGGCCATGATTGGCCTGTAGTGTTGAGAGATGTGTAGACTAGATGGGTTATAGGGGGATGGGTGTGGGTGGGATGCTCTGAGGGTCGGTGTGGGCTTGTTGGGTCAAAGGGCCTGTTTCCACACTGTAGGGATTCTACGATCTATGATCAACATTCTTCACATTCATTTTCCTGCCCTTTCCCCATAACCTTGATTACCTTACTGATCAAGAATCTATCCATCTCAGGCTTAAATATAACAAGGTCTTTGCCCCCACAGCTCTCTGTGGCAAGCGGTTCCAAACCTTCTGAGAGAAGAAATTCCTCTTCGTCTCAGTCTTAAATTGCTGCCCCTTATTTCTGAGATTATGCCCTCTGCTCCTTGACTCTCCCATGAGGGGAAGCATCTTCTCAGTATTTATCCTGTCAAGCCCCTTAAGTATGTTTCAATAAGATGACCTCTCATTGTTCTAAAATCTAATGAGTAGATTAAACCTTTGCTCATAAGACAATCCCTCCATAGCAGGGATCACCCTTGTG